CCACACTGCCATGAAGATCCTTGGCCGGCAGACTTCAGGGTTTGGGGTTAAGGGTCCAAGGTTTAGGGTTTAGGGTTTGGGGTTTAGGGTTTGGGGTTTGGGGTTTAGGGTTTGGGGTTAAGGGTCTAAGGTTTAGGGTTTAGGGTTAAGGGTTTGGGGTTTAGGGTTTGGGGTTTAGGGTTTGGGGTTAAGGGTCTAAGGTATAGGGTTTAGGGTTAAGGGTTAAGGGTTTGGGGTTTAGGGTTTGGGGTTTAGGGTTTAGGGTTTTGGGGTTAAGGGTCTAGGGTTTGGGGTTTAAAGGTGTGTGATCTGGGAATAGAAGGGATGTTCAGGGCTACATAGAATACATGGCGGTGTATAGGGTTACATAGGAATGTCCAGGAATGAAGGTGTATATATATATAAATATTATTTGTATATGTATATACATACTACACGTATGGACAATGTTGAGGGTTCAGGATTGATTTTCGGGCTTTTGGGAGTCGCGCATGGAACTGTAGAAGAGCCAACAGGAGCAGTGGCGGTGGCAGTGGCTTTCCTTGGGTACTGCCCCCACCCAGTGACACCTGGACGCTAATTTTGATGTGATTATATATAGCCCTAAATTCCCCTTTTGCAGACTGTCTGGGTGGGGGCAGTACCCAAGGTATTTCTCAAAGTTGAGGTCCAGATTTCCGGACCTTTCCTAATTCCTAAACCTTCAACCCTCAACCATAAGTTCCTTTGCTAGCCTTGTGGGGGGTACTTCTAAGCCTAGGTAGAACTACCCTGAAGTCAGGACGGGAATGCTTGCGGGAGCTGCCGCGGCAGAAGCCATGCTGCAGGATGGTGCAGCGGGGCAGGAGGTCCTTGGGGATGGGATAGGAAGTACATGGTGCTTGAGCACCCTATACCCTAAAACCCTAAACCCCCAACCCAAACCCCCAACCCAAACCCCTCAAACCCTAAATCCCTAAACCCCTAAGCCCCCAAGCCCCTAAGCCGCTAAACCCCTAAAACCTGAAACTCTAAAAGCCTAAACCCCTAAACCCCTAAACCCCTAAGCCCCTCAGCCCCTAAACCCGGAAACCCTAAAACCCTACACCCTAAAAGGGGTGTGTTGCGAGGCAGGGATGAGGTTTTCAGTCATCACGCAGGCAGTTTAGGGTTTAGGGTTTAGGGTTTAGGGTGGGATCTGAGGAGTTAGGATCTGTCTAATGCCAGGCATCCTGGGATCCTTGTCTCCATCAATAATAGTGTAATAAGTGTAATAAAAGTAACAGTAATAGTAGTACTAAGAGTAATAAAAGTAAAAAATGGTGATATTCGTAATCATAGTAATAATAGACATATCAGTAATAATAGTCATAATAGCAATACTTCATAATAGTAGTAATAGTAACAGGAGTAAGATAGAAATAGTAGAGTGCAATACAGAACCATGACGGTGGTTCTTCAGGTTGTATAGGGGTTGTTTTCAAGGGGTTGTTTTCAACATACTGAAAGATTGAGCAAAATGTTGCAAAGCAGAATGGTGTAGTGGTAGCACCATTGCAATAACGAGAAAAGCCATGACTATGACATTGGATTTGCTGACATAACAGTGATGAAGGAAGGAGATGTGATTTCGAGCCATCATGGTGCTCCCTAGCAGCCAGGTGACGAAGTATGAGGCCGACGTGCGTTCATCTTGGGTTTGGGATGAGCTGACGCGAGTCCGCAACTTCAAGCCCGCAACTTGCCGGGAATCTCGAGTTGTCGATGATGTTATGCTCTCCAGGCGTCTAACCTCTTTTCCAACATGGCCTACCCAAGAGTAACGCCCCTGGCTGAAAGCGAAGGCTTGGCACGCGGGGATGTGGCCGGGCTTGAGCTATGGTGGATTTTCGCTGATGCTGGCGCGCGGCAAGGCTACAGGGTATGGGTCGTGAGTCCTTGCTGTGAGTTGCTGTCTCAAAGCCGTGGCTTCTTGGGGGAAGAATCTCATGAGACGTCATGTCAGATGTTGCAGGAGCCCTGGACTTTCCGCTGGTCTAAGAAGGATAGTGCCTTGGACTTGGTTCTTGCCGAATACTGCATAGTGCAGTTCCGACTAGTAGCACGGATCACAAGTTATGTAGATTTGCTTACCAAGTTCCATATGCTTAAACGTGCTGGCGACGAGGCTTGACATCCGGAAAGATGAAAGATTGTTGGCGCGTGAAGTCTAACTTTGTGGCTAGCATTGTTAAGCTAAAGTTGGAGCGGTCATTTTGCAAAGTTCGGGTTCCCTTCTCGTCCGTACAGCATGCGGGTTTAGGACCCTTGACTTATTCGAACATCCACGAAAATGACAGTACTTTCTATGCACCGCAAAACACATGTAGGATGCCCGGTAGAGACCCTCAGGGGCTAAGTGGGGTGGCGTTGTCAAAGTCATAGCTCTCTTTTTCCATGTCTGTCCATTGGTTCAAAATGGGCGCAGTTAAAATCTTTTTTGGTGTTCGTCGTGGCACATTATTAGGATGATGTATTTTGGCGGATTGTGGTTTCATGATATGTGCCATGATTTAGGGTCATTGGTGCCACTAGAGCGCTTATCAGTTTTTTGTTTTTTTGCGATTTGTAGGTGAAATCTGTAGTCTAAACTCCTAGTATCCCCATTAATAACCTCATAATACTCCCCTCTATAACCCTCTTTAAGGAGTTGAGACCCTAAACCCTAAACCCTTTCTAATCCCCTATATAACCTCATTTAAGGAGTTTAGACTATAGCTCATGTGGACCTATGGCAGAAGTTGTGCTGAGGCGAGTACACGAAGCCAGCTGGAGCACCTCAGCTGTCTAGGGTTTAGGCTTTAGGGTTTAGGGTTTGGATAGCAGGACCTGTCGGTACTTCTGTAGTCCAGACCTTCGGGTTTAGGGTTTAAGATGTAGGGTACAATAGTAATTATCCTTCTACACCCCTATCCGTTTCAGTTTCCATAATCTTTCACATCTGAAGATTTAAACCCTGAACCCTAAACCCTAATCCCTAAGCCCTAAACCCTAAACCCTAAACCCTAAACTCTAAACCCTCATCCATTGTAGCCCAGGATTGTGAGAAGATTGACTACCCTAAGCCTGATGGTGTTGTCTCCTTCGACTTGCTGGAAAACCTGGCTCGAAGCTGCCCAGCTTGTTTGATTTCTGACAATGGAAAATCAAATGGAAAGTACTATTTCGGGTTTAGGGTTTAGGGTTTAGGGGTTATACAGGGATAATGGAAAATCAAATGGAAGCTGCTATTTAGGGTTTAGGGTTTAGGGTTCAGGGTTTCTGGGCTATGTAGGGAGAATGGAAAAGAAAATGGAAGCTACTATAATGGGTTATATATAGGGATTATATTAGGGTTAGATTGGGGTTATATTGGGATAATGGAAAAGAAAATGGAAAGTATAGGAGGTCACAAGAGGATGGCATGAGGAAAACACATTCCATGTGCCTCAGGGTTTAGGGGTTATATAGAGAAAGTAGAGACTACAGGGTTTAGGGGTAAGGGGTATGCAACCCTTATAGTGCAGCATCAACTGGCAAAGAATATGGCAAACGAAAAGGATGGGGGTTTGTAGGGATGATTGCCTCTGTATGGTCCCTGGAAGTGGAAATGTGTCAGAGGCATTGCAGGAGGTCTCACTGCAACAAAAAACCCTAAGCCCTAAACCCTAAATAAATGCCTGAGGTGGAGTTAACCATGAGCATGACCAGCCGGCACATCTCAAGGTGAAGGAAGACCACAAGCCTCCTGGACCACTGTCAGTGGGTTGATATAGGTTGTTTTCAAAATTGTGGGCTCCTTTGGTTATGGATACTATGGCGGCACCTATTTCTGAGGCAACCTTAATTTTGGGAACTACCCCTAGAGGTGTATATTCTTCTTGCACGCCAGAGGGCCCTGGCCGTTGCATTTCCGAGGCGTGTGCCGCTTGAAGTCTCCCTTCCAGTGTATGACGGTCCTGAAGGTCGTTTTTGCCCTGCAAAGGTCTACGAGCGTCTTGGAGGCAGAAGCGATGACCCAATGGTTCTTGGGTATATAGATCCGACTTCGAGCAATACATTCGTGTCTTGCTGAAGTGTGCAAATCAGGTATGTTCCCGATGAGGAGAGAGAAGGAAGCATGAAACTGCAGATCAATGCGCAGAACTGCGTCCACTGCAAATGCTGTTCCATCAAGACGCCGCAGGATGCTGCTAGGGATGTTCGGAGTAGCTGGCGTCATCTGCAAGTGTCGGAAAGTGTTGCATTCTGCGTGCCAGCCAATGCAGGAGTTCATCAATTGGACTGTCCCTGAAGGTGGAGGTGGACCACAGTATGCTGCCATGTGAGTTCCCGAAGTGCTTCATGTCATGAGATTGTACATACAAGGCTTACAGGTGATCGTCCAGGAGCAATTGCTCCAAGCGCGAGCGGCCACAGCTTGCAAGCTGCACGCGCGGAGATGTCCCGTGGGCTTTTTCTCTGTCCGAGGCGAAGAGTAGTGGCCCTGTCAAACTGCAGAGGCCTGCCTTCGTCCATCACCATGAAAGGCATTCGAAGGTGGGAACCTTTCAGTGGAAGCGCTGTTAGAGAAGAGCAGCTGGGCTCTTGTCTCAAACAGCACCAACATTAACAGCAACCGTAACATGAGAATAACAACAATGGTGAGAGCAACTATTCATTTGCATAAGTTTGTATAGCTTTGCTACCTTAGCTGAACTTCCCTAAGCTTAGATGGTTGTTTGGACCAAGCCGACGAGCGATGCAGGTGAAGGTTTCAATTCTATAAGTGTGTGAACAGATCTCTGCAATCCTTGTAGAGGCTCTGAGAAGGTTGTGGAACCCCCGGTAGGGAACAACCCAAGTGGTAACCAGGTAGTATCCTATGGTTCCTTACAGGTGCTACTTTGGAGAAGACGAGTGTTTCTTGATTTGTCTTCCTAGACCAAACCGTCACCTGCAGTAGACACGCGTGTTCTTGGTGGAGAGCGCGCGGAAAGCGGCATGATGAAATGAGTCTCAGGATAGGCTACGGGAATTTGAGCATTGGGTCTAAGGGCGAGAACGAGCATTTAAAGGAGCGAGTGCATTCCATTCCCAAACCTTCAGTATATTAGTTTACTGTCTGATTGAGGTGCAATATGGCCCAACAGTTAGCGATGCATTAGTCATGATTACCAGGACTGCTATTGTGGCCATGTTCTTTTGCAAGTATTCAGAATTCTGAGATACTACCGTAGCTATCATTTAATGCTACCCCAAACCCTAAACCCTAAAGCCTACATTGAGGTGAGCTTTATCTGAGCCTTCCTGGCGGCCTGGGCATTGTCGTCGACAAAGAGCGAGAGGTGGCGGTCAACCAAAATCATGATGAATGTTGATGTATGGGCGTTTCCAGAAGTGAGGGGTCCTTTTGGGGCGGTCCCTAGAATAAGGCTTGTAGTATATTGACAGCTATTTGGGGGGCCCTCCAATTTTTTGAATCTCCCGTATCAGTCTCCCTCTGTTTTTTCGCCAAGCAACTTTTGCTAAAATGATGCCCAAACCTGTGTTCGCAGGGCCCAGATAAGAAAGGGACAGTATGGAATGCCCTCCGTAACCCCAAGCCACAAGAGGCCTTGTTTCAACAGAGGAAGTGAGTCCTTTAATGAGGTCAGCATAGTGTCAGCATCTTTAAGTCGGGCGTTCCAAGGGGTTCAGAAACATGGCTTAGGGTTAGGGTTACGCACGCCAAAATACCTGCATGAGCGAGCAAAGCAATTGGAGGTTTACCGCACAGGCAAGCGGGGATTCATGCTGAAAGTTGATCTGGCTGCGTGACCTGAAGCGTACACTCCCAGACCCCCAAACCCCAAACATTTCCAGCCGTCAACCCCAAACCTTGAAACATTAGACCCTCAAGCACCTCAACCCTAAAGCCTCAAATCTCAGGCTTTTTAACTCGCCTTATAAGGTGAGGTAACCTAGAAATCCCCAACCTGCCCAAAAACCTTTAAGCCCTAATCGTTAGACCCTGATCCTTGTCTTACTCTCTTCCCTTGGTCCTACACCCTAAACCCTAAGCCCAAAACCTTAATCCCTCAACCCCAAGCCCTAAACATTAAACCGCATTCTGAGCAGGCCTATGCATTGGGGCTGAAACGACAGGAGCTGTATGCGGCCCGGGCTCCTTGACTTGCCTTCAGAGGGGGTAGGTATAGGGGTATATAGGATTTAGGGTGCAGGGGATTTATGAGGTTAATGTAGGGCCCTTGAGTAGGTTGAATATGGGTTTGTGTATATTATAGTAAGAGCGGAGCGGAGTGGTGTGGGGCTTAGGGCCTGGGGATTTAGGTGAGCTGTTCAGGGCTTCGTTGCTTTGGAGTGAAGGGCTTAGCGTGTAGCGTTTTTGGCGTGTAGGATAGAGTTTAGGATCTCAGGTTTCGGAATTCGTTTGGTTGCAGCAGAGTGGTTTTCGTGTCAAGAATATGGCCTGGGCAGCTAGAATATATTTATATGTGTATATACATATTTTTTCCCCCCCACTCTCTCTCTCTCTCTCTCTCTCTCTTTCCGGTCGTGTTCTCCTCTTAGGTACTCCTCCTGCTCTGGTTGTGTACGCCATGAACTGTAGTGACTACAACGAGAGCACTTCGGGCAGTTTATCGTCATTAGTATTGCTATGCTTTCTTCGTGATATCAGTCAGAAAACATCATTGTAGTCCCTTGAATACTGAAAATATCTCATCACGTTCCTGCATTAGGCCTACATACTTGCGAAAATGTGAGGAACGTACTTCGAAGTAGACATGGTGCGAGCAATGGCCAGAAAAGCTTCCGGATGCATTTGCGACCCTTGACTCCAAGCCTATACAGCACTGTAAATCCGATTTCCCTAGAAATGAGTACTGTACAGAGCATACATAGCAGACTGAGGCATACAGATAGTCAGGCTCTTCCACAAAAAGCCCTACATTCTAAATTGAGTTGTACCTTCTTTGCCGATGCTAGATCCTCCTGTTGGTTATAGTATGTTTAAGAAGATAAAGCATGCTGCTCAATGGACGCAGGGCCCACACCGAAGTCACAGTTTGTTCGAAAGTGGAGCGGCTACCAAAAGCTTTCCGCCAACCTTCAGCTGTCTCGGCATGACTTGAGTTTGGTTTTGGGCTGTTCAGGGTCGTAGCAAGGCAGTATAATGGTGTGCAGATTCTAGGGTTTGGGGGTATCAGCTCCAAAAAAAGGAACATCAGGTGGAAAAGCGGCGGAAATTAAGTGGAAACTGCGGCTGTGCAAAGGTTCATAGGGATTAGGGTTAGGAAGTACATGTTTCATTGTTGGAGACCATAAAGAACAGCCATGGGTCGATTGACGTTGCCCTGAATTCTGCGCCCATTGTCTTGGCAGAATACTCAAGGAGGATTTTGATATCTAGGGGATGTAGAGGGGATTTGAAATCTGGTTGCCAACCCTCGCTTTGGAGTTGTTAGACTCTGTGTTCTCCTCGGCCGGTCACCTCTCTACCTGAAATTGCCAACCAGATTCCTTCAGTACCCAAAACATCCTCGAAGCCGAAGTGGTTTAGCTGAGGCCAAGCCTTAAGCGCCAAAAAAACTAAACCCCAAATAGGAGTTTTCCCCCAAAAAGGGTTCATTCTCGTGGCTCACACGCACGCGATGTACACTTGGCCCGTTTTTGGAAATGTGCAGTGCCCTTGGAGTCTCCCTACAAAGCAACCCAATGCCCAACCCAGAGTCTCTCCAGCTTCTTCTCAAAGCTGAAGTATGAAAGGTACACCGGACCCAATTTCCCCATTCGAGGTCGACTAGGAAGCAAAAATGTCCTGGGGACCACAATCGATTCTGGCTATGAAGCCTCATTTTCATCTGTCGACATGCGTATATGGGGCAACGCAGAAATGTCTTTTCTACAGCAGTGCCACCGTATACGACTCGAAGGCAATTCGAAACATCATCAACGCAACCCTATTGTGGGACGCCCAATCCCAAAGCCCAAGCAGCTCCTGCTTGCACAGAAATGGCATGAGGGGCTGGTAAAAGAAACTCTGCAGCTCTTTTTTCGAATGCTTTCCTATTCCAGTATCTTCACTTGAGATGCTGCTGGAAGGAGAACCGCCCCTTCGAAGCTGCCCAGCAGCATCTTAAAAATCATGAGACACTTTTCATCCCTATCGCCCAGAAGCATGCATCCCCTCACTCCTTACCAACACATGTTCCCAACATTATATATCGGGGTGAATATTTCTTATCAACAGGCTGGGCGTTTATGGTCAGGGGAGGAATGAGACGTTTGCTGGCCTAAATTCCAAACCCGAATAACCGCCCCCTATAAAACCCCTGTATAGTCTGTTACAACCCGATATAGCTCCCACAGATGCCCTTGATAGCCGCTATACAAACACTTTCTATTGTTTTCCACTGCCAGGTTGGTTGTATGAGAGGCCACAGTGCCTCGATTACATCCACCACCAGGCCCCAAGCAGTTTTGTGGTCATAGAGGGGTTTAGGGCTTAGGGTTCAGGGTTTGGACTTTAGGGTTCAGGGTCTAGGGGTTTGGGTACAGTCCTGCCAAGTTATACGTTACAGCGGTTTGGGGTACATTCCTTTCTTCCGATAGAGCAGGGATTGGGGTATGTCCTGTGCCCAGAGAACAACCACAACCCTTTTGCAGCAGACCGGGCACTGCTTCAGCGCTTCCTAGATGGAGAACAACTATTCCTGTTTCTGTTTTTTGGAATTCATGGGGAATCGACGTAGAAGAACTAGAAAGTGGCATGCTCGTTCTTCATGTATAGTATGATTTTCAATTTTGAGTTTACCGTAATGCTTCCTACTTGTACTGGTCATGGTACTATCCGTGCCCGTACTGGTACGAGTACCGTAGTTCCATCAGTACTAGTATTAGCGCGACCATCACTATTACTATTGCTTCTGCTATTACTACAACTAGCAATAGGCATGTGGTGATGAAGACTACTCTTAGAACTACCAATAGCATTACTTTCAAGGGGTTCGGGCCTTTGGCAGGGAACCTGCGGAGCTTGCTACATGTTCGCGGCTTTGGACTCGCTCTCGGACCGGCATTGCATCGACACCACCAATGCGGGGTGCTTGGTTACTAATACGGAGGGAAATCCAAGCCGTAGGCAGGAAGTACCTAGAGGGTCTTCGCATTTACTATCATGGACAAAACTCGTGTTTCGTTCTTTCCTAGGCAAAATATGGGGCGTCTACGTTCAGCTCATGTAGCTGTTATCTAGCAGAGATGTAAAAGGTTGTGGGTCGCTTCAAGATTGCAGCTTGCGGGTGTTTTTCGTCTGTAATCTTCGTCTGCAGATTACATATGGACA